ATGTTGCTCTGAATACGGCTTTGAGGAAAAGGCTTCCAGGAAGAATGCAAGTTGTGGTGGGTACTAAGATCACCATCTCATCACCATCATGGTAATCAGCAATTACTATACACAGATTTTGTAACTGTGCCTATCATTCATTTTTTCTATCCTAACCAATGTTTTAGGCATGTTAATGGATGCAACAGTAACTACAATAAGAACTTACACATGCTCCTGATTTATCTTCATCAATACTCAAACTGTAGCTCTGCGGCATTTTCTTTGCTCACTACTCTTTCAGGAGGCAGAGCTACATCTTTTGTGAAAAATAACACAGAATTACGGAACGGTTTGGGTTGGAAGGGACCTCAAAGCTCATCTCATTCCACCCCCTTCCCCTAGAGCAGGTTGCTCCAAGCAGGTGTCCAACCTGGCCTTGGACACCTCTTTTTGTCAGTCCAAGTCTATGTTTACCAAAGCCTAATCTGAGGATTAGCTGTTGATAGGAAAGGTCAGTTAGAAGGGCTTCCAGAGCCAGCTAATATCCAGCTTTACATTCCTGGGAAGCAAAACCAGGGGGGAAAAAACAGGCACACAGGATGGTATTCTAGAAATATGTAAGGGCACGAATATTTCTGTTCAAGCAACACAAACAACACACTTGGGAGCTACTGAACTGCCTGAGGTAATGCAGCCCTGGAAACAAGGCTGAGCTGAAACGATGGCTGGGGGGGAGATATTCCTGACTGGGAAGGCTGGACCCAGCTCCCAGTGCCGAGTGGCCACCACACTGCTCTCTGAAACATGAGGAGAGTTGGAATACTTGATTTGCAAGCAGGTTTTCTGTTCCCAAATAATTCGGGAAAATCATGTAAGAGCTGATAACAACACAAAATGTCAACTGCAGCTCTGAGAAAAACACTGAGTATTGTGGGACCTGAGGAAAGTGAATGGAGCCACAACACTTCAGATACCCGCACAGAGGACATTCTCAACAGCCTCCCATTTCTCACTGAGACCACTTTTCCTGGAGGAAATGGCCAAGCAAAGAAAGCTCAAATGACACCTGAAGTCTTAAAAGAATTTTACAGGGTCTGGGGTTTTTTAGGGTTTTCTGAGAAGATGCGTCCATATAATTTATTGTTGAAGCTCCTGCACAAAGTTTAACCTGCTGTTGGATCTGACTCCTTACCGGGCTGAAATGCTGCCTTTTTAAAACAAAGCATCCAGTATATTTGAGGATAGAACAGCACTGCTGGTGCTCCCTCCAAGGGGGCTCATGCTGCTCACCCAGCCAGCACTGCATTTAAGGAAGGGTTTGGAACTGTGGCTCCCCTTGGATGAGTCGGGCAGATCAGGTGAATCTGCACACCTTTCAAGGAAATAAAGATATATTTCCCCCCCTGGATCACAGTTACAATCCCCAGACCAGTGAGGAGGAAGGTTAAAGACTGCAGCAAGCAAACACCAACCCTGCCGTGTAGACACAAGGGGTTTATGTACCAGGTGTGTTCTATATGGGCATGACACCTTCCTTCTCACTCATTTAAGAAGCTGTTCTTCCCCCACAAGGAGGAAGCTTTTATTTGAAAAGCACTGTGCTTTTATTTGAAATCAAATCTAAACCAGACAATATACAAAGGGGTAAACTGCTCTTACCAAAAAGGCTGGTTTCAGCCTTTTTTTCCCCCCTTTCTTCTTTTCATAAATGAGGGGCAGAGATAATGATGATGAAGATACAAGAGCAGAAAATGGACATCCACAGCCAAAGCTTTGTCACGTGCTGCCCTGTGGCACGATGGCAACCTCTGGCAGACAGACAGTGGTGAAACACGCTCAGCTATTCATCAGGAGAAGCTGAGATAAAGCAGCAGTGCTGCCCAGCAGGTATCCTGGTGAATACATTCCGGGAGCCCTCGCTCATGGCATTCTGCCATTAAAAGCCAAGAGATGCCGCAACAAATTCCCCCGGGACCCTTTGGGAAGGCTGACGTGGAATTTGCCGGCCAGAATTTTAGTCATCCCCTCCACGGCTCTGCTCCAGAAGCCCAAGATGAATAGGGAGCTCTGGTGAACTTTGAAGCCTGAGGGTCAAAGTTCTCTCTCATTATCCCCACCATTTTCTGTCGGCAGAGCTCCTCAGCCTCCCCAGGGACGGGAAGGTTTGAGGCTCTTGAAAAAACCTGACATGACCAAGTCAGAAAACAGTAGGGTGCTTATGTACATATATTTTTCTTTCCCCGTTTTCCTCTCCCCCCACTTCCTTGAAAAGAAAGGACAGGGATTGAGCTATTGTGTCAAACATCAACCTGGTGGCATCAGCAGTCCCTCATTTAGCTGGCACAATGCCGCCCTCATTTCAATGCGCTGCCCTGCCAAACAGGCCTGACCCTCCCAGGGACACCTCCTCTGCAAGAAAGGGCCTCATTTGATTTTTCACTCCCCACCCCAAAACCTTTCATTCTGTAGCCAGTCCTTTCAAGGAGGATGTCACTCCCGATTCCTGCAATACATATTTTCTAGGCTAAGAACTCTCCTTCGTGCCTGAGCCGCCACTGACCGATCTGACAGAGACAACTGATCCACCTGTGGCCAAACCTCCAGCAATATTTAATACAGTGCTTGCTCTCAGCCATTAAATATTGAAACTGGTCCTCCCAACGCAGGTGTTATGTTCTGACTCAAACCACAGGCTGGACAGACTAAATTACCTTCTAAATTTACTTCTCCTGCTACCACTAGAGGCCCACCTTTCGCTCCAATTAAAAATTCACTCTGGAATTAAAATGGCAAGATTTTGATTAACTAAAATAGCCTGCACATTTGAAACGACCCAAATCTAAGTGGTCAGAATAGAGCCAGGCTTTATACAAGCTTAGGAAACTGACTTCAGATGGTTAGCAAAAGCTCTTTTCTTCACTGCTATTTAATGGGATAGTTGGTAGGAATAAGGCCCTGATTTCTCAAAACAACGTAAGAAATTATCCCAAACAGCAATGCAAGTACACTATTAAAAATTCAGCAGTGTCTTTGGCTTTGCTGTGCAAAAAAGCAACAAAAGAATTACCGAAAAACAAAAAACTTGCAAACCCAAACCAGAAACACATTATCAGAGTCCTGTCTGGGGGAAAAAACATTCACCTGGCAATGCCCAAGAGGAAATGGGGACATTCCTGCCTACTAAGTTTAGCACAAACTGTACTGGGGTGTGACTGAGTTAAATATCTGTGGTTACGTTAGAAACCCCTCCGACCCACGCACGGAGACAGAGCCCTGTACCACCTTCTTGGGCTGGGGGGGCATGGTGGGGGATGGAGGGAAACAATTACAGCCCAGTAATTACTTCTCCTTTAAATGGATTCTTCCTAACCTCCGATGGATTTACCTCTAATCTCAAAGTAATTACGTGTAACCTCAATGGATTCTCACTCTGGGGGAGATGCTGCAGCTCCAGGGAAGCCTGTGGAGAAGTTCTCTATTGTCTGCAAGAGCAATGAAAAACTAACACGTGCATGGCACTGCCAGGAACAATAGAGCCCTTCCACAACACCAGGAAGAGGCCAGACAATGGCACCTTGCCTCCTCCTGATGACACAGAGCTGGCCAACACAATCCCAGGGAAACTCCGTCGGGAGCTCCGTGGGGACTGCCCCAAAGGCACACAGCACCTGTGCCTCCCTTCTGGGAGCAACACCAATACATGATTTGGGTATTCCAGCACTACTTCACAGCAGAATTACGCACATTTAGAGGCACTAAGAGGGGCCAAATCAGACAGAAAAGACTTGAACTACATCCCACAAAGGAGCAGTGAAAACCTTGCTCCAGAACACAGGGGCTGAGGGAAAAGGGGTTCTGAGGGAACCTGCCTGGAAGCTACTTGTCATCTAATTTACTAAACAGTTTTTAAGAGACATGGATCTGACATCAGAAACTAGAGCAAAGCATTGTTATGGCAGGACCCGAGACTACGAAATCCTGTGTCAAGCCAGAGAAAGTGCTAATATTCCACAGTCAAGGAACAGCAAAGTTGTGCAAGCACAGCATCCATGTGGCCAGACACGTAGATGTGACACCTGGGGACATGGTCTAGTGGTGCTTCAGCAGTGCTGGGTTAATGGTTGGACTCGATGACCTCGGAGGTCTTTTCCAACCAAAATGATTCCATGGTTTCATGCTCCTCAGAACCACCCATCCGAAGCAAAAGTTTCCTGCCAGTTCCAGGTGCAGGTCTGTAACCCTCAGAGCTTATAAAAAAGGCATCTGATCCAAACCTTGATTTTCACTCCTTAATGGAAAATTGCCCGAGAGCTCAAAATGTCGCCAACAGGTTTAGGAACAACTGGCCCTAAAAATGTTATGAGTGGCCACCCTATAATGTTCATATATGGGATGATGATAAAACATAAGACCAGATATAAAGACCTTAGTGAGGGTCACACCATGGGTTTTGGGGTCCTGAGTCAGACCCCTGTGCTCCTTCCATCCCCAAATCCATATCCAGGGATTGTGTCACAGGCACTGAGAGAGACAGACAGCATCCTTGGGACAACAGATGTCTCAACATGGAAAAGCTGTGTAGAACATGTCTTAATAGCTAAGTCATTTCCAAAAGGCTGCTCAGAACTACTCTTGAATAAACCACAACCACTGCACACTGACTAAGACCTCTCCTCACTCTTTACTACATCTAGGAAACTTTTTCTTATAAAAGGTTTCTGTTTTTTAATCCTGGGATCAACAATAAGTCCATAAAAGAACCAGAAGAAAATAAAGACTTAGACTGTTTCAGCTGCCTCTTGGGACACAAAGGAGCCTCATTCCCAGGGGATTCAGAGGAACTGGACTGTTCTCAGACTTGCACCAGGGAGTTTTATTTCAGATTATGGTTCTTTGAGAGGGGGGGGAATGAAGAGAGAGAAAGAAGTTCCCCCACCAAAGGGGGCTGAAGAAATCCCTGTCTGACACTGCTTGCTGAGGGCCTGGTGCTGCTGAACACCCAGACATGGTGTACTCACGTGTAAGCTCGGGTGGTAGGTCAGCACCCCGTTGTCACACAACGTCACGTACTTCTTCTTCCACTCCTTGTTCAGAGACTTGCCACTCCTCTTCAGCAGCATTCCCTGGGAGGGGGAGAGAGGAAAGGTTAAATATTCTCTGGCCAATGCACACCTACTTAAGACACAGCAAGAGACACCATTGCCAGCATTTTCAGATACACTTTCCTCTGCAGTTACTCGTCCTCCCCTGCCCCTCCCATGAGGCACGTTGCCTCCATCAGCAGCTTCACTGTTTGCCATTCAGGAGGAAAAGCTGTCCAACACCAAGCCAGAAGGCATTCCTAAGGAATCATACAGTACTTTGGTCATGGAAAGTCTTACTGGAATGTCCACGTGGAGACACTATGGACACAGATACACCAGTGCCAGGGATACAAGCAGACGCTTCATTGAATCATAACCAGGAATCTAAACCAACACAAACTTCAGTTCTCTAATCCCCATAAAATGAGTTTTTCCCTTCTCATTTGCCAAGGCAATTAAAATAAAGGGAAGTCAGAACACAGAAAGATGCCCTAAAAAGCACGGTGCTTCCAACTGCCATGGAGCTGTTCTTGTCAAAGCAGGCTAAAGCCTTGACAGCAAGTTCTGCTGTTTGTCTTCCCATTAAACGTGGAGCTTTATGAAGTCTCTGCAGAGCCGATCCCAAAGCCAGGAGGGGACACAGGCCAGCTCTGCCCAAGTAGAAGTCCTCCAGAGCAAGCAGAATTCCAGATGTTACAGCTTCCAGCTGAAGTCCCTCACCACTCTCCATACAACCTAACAAGTCTCCCTGTGCAACATCAGGGATGACCCCAGTGGAAAAGCCCCACTCACACCTGCCTGCTCCTGGCCAGGCACTTGGGACACAACTTCAGAGAGGAACCCTTCCCAACTCAACCCAACCTGTGCATGGGACCGTGGAGAGAAGCTCGTGCTGGGTCCCTGAATTACACAGTGGCACAAACTCCCAACTCTCCAGCTGCCTGGGGATCACATCTTCATTCTCCTGTGCTGTTCCTTGCCAGAACTGGAACTTTTTCAAGGAGAATGGGGCTCCTGCACCGCCTCCTCACAGAAGCTCCCGCGGCACAGCCCAATTACCGTGTGCCAGTGGGGACAGACGTTGTTTTCTTCTATTAAAAAATGAAAGCTTGTTTCTGCCTTTGACTCGCCTGTTTGTCTATAGGAGGTGATCCGTGGCTTCACCTTTCCCATCTTTCATACCTCACCTGCAGCACGTTCGCTGCCGTTCAGGGGGACCCAATTCTAGTTAGTGCTGTGCCGTGGGGATCAAAAATTACACTTTCCCTGCACTGGTTTGTTCTTCAGACCTTTTAATGGCGAAAAAAGCAGTAAGGAACACAATGGTGATCTTTTTTTTCCCCCCTCTGCCTTTTTTTTTTTTTTTAAGTTTCGAACAAAATAAAGTTTATATACTTCACACCTTTTAACTGTCCCTTTGCCATACAGACAACATGTAATTACTTCCATAATTATCAATTCATGCCAATTATAAACTCAATAAATAGTAAACACCTAACACGGTCATGATTTTTAGTACACAGAAGCTTTGCTACTATCTAGGTGTGAATTCTGACACTCTAGCTATGGATCTAAATGAAGAAATTTATTCAAAATGAGGTTTCACCATACTTTTAAAGTGGAATTCTGTGCTTGATGTAAAAAAAAATCCAGATCAGCATTAGATATGAATGATGTACCTATTTGTGTGCCTAACTAACAAACCAGGTTTCCCAATCCATTTCCTTCAGGCATTCCTATAGCAAACACATTCATTTTCACATTATGTGAGAATTAAAGGTATCTTAAAGTACCTGGAGAGGAAACTGCTCTGAATACAAGAACTTGGTGTTATAGAGTGAAGTAGCCCATATAAACCACATTTTCCCCCCCAGGGCCACCAATTTGTGATAATTTTATAGAATGATCTGGAGAAATGGTCTTAGAATCGGAGTTTATATCAGCTATAAATGCACTTTAACATTAACCAAATTTTAAAAAAATAAATGGCCCTGATATGACAAGAAATGTTCCTTTAAAGAAAAAGCCCTTTCCTTCAGTCACTTTATGTCTAAATCACATCAGATACTGTGCCTGGGAAATGAGTTCCACGGGTTCCCACTGACCTCTGGTACCTCCGAGGCAACTGAGAGGCAGCTTGGGCATGTCCCCAGTCCCCACCAAAGAGGTCCCCACGTACACAGAACACACTGCAAAACCCACCTTTGGTCCCCAAGCTGAGCAGTAAGAGACCCAGGCAATCTCCTACTTCCAAATACCCATTTTTTTTTGGTCTAAATAATCTCTGCCTCAAGTTGTTATTAACTGATAACATCATTTTTCCTAATTTGCATGAAACCTTTCATTTCTTAGTCTTCCATCTGCAGTTGGGTGTAGCTGACCCAAAGCCTCCAGGCTCAACACTGAGAATTTAACACCTCCAACTTCCACACAAACTGGGAACAATTTCACAGTTCTTTTTTTTTACCACCTTCCCTCCAAAATTGCAATTCTGTGTCTAACAGAGGAATGGCTTCTCCTACCAGACTCCTCCAGCTTGTATTTTTAAGGAGCCAGAGGAAAAAGGCTCCAACTGGAATGCACGGACCTCCCTCCCCAGGTTTTGCTGGAGGAACACAAAGCAAACAGAGGAGCTGCCTGGACGTTCCACCAGTTCTTTATTAGTAATGTGTGTGCTACGTCTACTCCCAGGAGGTCATTGCAAGCCAAAAGCAATGTTAAGTGTACAAGCTTTAAATAACTTACAAAGTTAATGTAATGAATGTAAGTGTGATCTGAAATCCATCACTCAGTGGCTTGCTGTAGCCTCAAGCTGTGATAAAACACCACTCATAAATTTATATTAAAACTCTGTTCGATAGCAATTATTTACCAACAAAGATTTATTGATTGCATTTGCTGTTAGAGGCTGGGGCCTTAACTGAGTCAATCAGCTTACGCCGCTGAGCTCCGGGGCACCCGCACGAGTTACAGACTGCCAGTGGCTCTGCATCCCAACAGCTCCGTGGGAGCAGCAGCAGCTAATGAAAGGCCGCCAGCACTGCATTGATTGGAGTCAAGGTGGATAAAAAACAACATCCCAACTCCAGCCAAGGGAGCACCACACACAACACACCCGGCTCACCTGAGCTCGCAAAACCCGGCTGCTGCAGACACTGCCAACCCTGCCAGCTCAGAGCACAAACCAGCACCCCTGGGACACAGCCACACATTTGTTCTATGGAAATACGCGGGGTCTTAAACAGCAAATTAGCAGCATTTTAAAAAGTGGCCTCCCGAAGTGGCTTCATGCCCCATCGAAGATGCTGGTAGGTGAGAAGCCCTGAAAATGGCCTTTGAAGGGAGCAGAGCCAAGACTGGACCTTCAGGACAAGGAAATATGGTACTCCCAAGGCTGGCGGTTGGAACTAGATGATCTTTAGGGTCCCATCCAACCCAAACCGTTCTGTGGCTCTAACGGTGTCTAATTTCTTTCAGAAGTTCATCCCACTGCCACAGCTGTGGTGTGAACTTCTGCCAGCCTCTCCTTTCTTCCCTTCCCTGATTTTTAGCCCACCCCGCACTGTTACTCTGCTGCTGTTCTGACACAATGAAACAGGTAATCTCACACTTAGTCATTAACAGTGTAAATTCCTAATTTTCCACTCAGGTCTGTAGTTCTCACAGCCATGATCAGCAGCCAGCACTGCTAGGAATTTTCTAGGAATCATGTGCATCCTGTTCACAAAAGAAAAACTCAGTTCATCAGAAAAATCTTCCCTCAAGTAAGGCTAAGGGCAGCCACTCAGCCAGGATCACAAACTAACTGTTACATATAAATTCTGGACAACAAAACACTTCCTTTAAATGCAGTAACATGGGCAACAAATGCTGCTGAATCCTTCAGGATTGCATGACCAGCCAACTCTGCACAGTCTGTCCAGCACCACTGGGACCAGTCTAGGTCATCCTAATAATAAACAAGAGAGTAATTCTTAACTGTTATTTCTTGCTTCCAGAAGATTTAACTGTAACAGGTTTCCAGCATTAGAGTCCATTTAAGCTCATGGCAGTCATATCATAACATCACAGAATCCCAGAATGGTTCAGGTTGGAAAGGACCTTAAAGTTTAGCTCATTCCACCCTCTGCAATGGGCAGGGACATCATCCAGTAGACCAGGTTGCTCTCACTTCAACAATGAAATCTGAGCACACACCGAAGGATACAACTAACCCTCTAGGAAATAAACTGCTGAAGATTCCCAGAGCATTTGGAATCCTTCCATACAAATGTAACTTGTTTTCGCTGTTTCACAAAGTTAGGTCTTTTCTTCCCCAGGAATTTAAGGGAATGCTCCTTGGTCTTCTGGTCAGTGAGATATGAAGCTGTTTTAAGTTTTTACACTTGGAAACCTGTAGCAAATATCCCTCTCCCTTCCAGTACCGAAAGGGGGCTTATAAAAGAGGGAGAGGCACTTTGGACAAGGGCCTGGAGTAACAGGACAGCGGGGAATGGCTTCCCATTGCCAGACGGCAGGGATAGATGGGATACTGGGAAGGAATCCTTCCCTGGGAGGGTGAGAAGGCCCTGGCACAGGTTGCCCAGAAAAGCTGTCATTGCCCCATCCCTGGAAGTGTCCAAGGCCAGGTTGGACGGGGCTTGGAGCAGCCTGGGACAGTGGAAGGTGTCCCTGCCCATGGCAGGGGGTGGAATGGGATGGTCCTTAAGGTCCCTTCCAAGCCAAACCAGTGTGGGATTCTATGATCTCCTACAGTGACAGGGCACAACTGGGGATCAACTGAACCACAAAACAAAGGCTACAAGAAACTGAAGTGGCTCTGAAGACATGTGAGAACAGGCAACCTCAAATATTCTCCAACTTCAGTATCTAATTATAACATTGCAAAAAAAATTCCCTAAAACCCCCAAATATTCTTAACTGCATCCAGGCACATGGAAAGTTCCCCCCCCCCCTTCCATAAAACCTGACTCTACAGTAGCAGCAGTTTCACTACAAAGTCAAAGATGCTTCCACACAGAGGAAACTATGCAAATTTA